TGTCTCAATAACATAATTGTATACCAGTTACAGAAAATTCCAGAGGTTTTAATTAGTAAACTATAGAGACAGAGAACTCGAAACCCTAATTATTCAACAATGAGGACGAACCTCTCTTAATCATACCAGTTCTTCCATTTCTATATTCATTTGTCACTTGTAACAACTTAAATTAGCTTAACAACTCCTACAATCCATAAGTAATATAACTCTTATTCTTCATTTGGTGACATTATAGGTCATGTAGTTTTCACATATGACTTAAATTTCATAAGCGACCATTTAGTGATCTAATCCGCATGCATACTAATTTTATTGTATAATACTATGGATTAATCGACTATTTTGGCGTTATTAATATTAAACCTAACAATAGGAATAAAAACAACTGTTGAAAAACAAAGATATAAAGAAATGGTACTAATAGTTGGTACGTATACATCAACTTAGTTAGGAATTATACTATTAGTTTACAAATAATCAATTGGGTTTAGTTTCAATTAAGTATCGTTAATTAGGATTATTAAATTTCCCTTGGCTTGATGCGTTGAGGCATTTTACGATGGAACATATCGATGACAACCAGGAGTTGAACTACCATTAAGACTTTTTTTTATGGTTAAACCTCTACTTAGACTTTTTTGTTTCAAAATAATTAACACTCTCTTATTATCATATTTAAATAAATTGGCCTAGAACAATAATTAAAAAAGGACAGTGCTTTCACAAGTTGAGACGACTTATTCAATTCGCTAAATTCTACTTGCTGCCACAAGTAGAATTGATATTCCAATATTATGTATATCTTGATTGAAACTCGAAAGATATTGAGGTTTTCACGTAGTAATGACCTCGAAGACATTATCTTTTATAACAAAACTAAAAAATAATTCATATATAAACCAATAATGATTTGTTTTAACTATTCTTTATCTTTAATAGAAGAGAAAACTATTCTTCATATAATGATATAGGACCGATTGGGATTATACTACGTGCCATAAAAGATAAAATCAAGATGTTATAATAAAGTGTAACTTTGCTTTGTATGGTGAAAGTGTAGTAGTGCTGCATGTTGCTTATTTATCAAGATGGCAATTCATAATTATGGCAATTCATAATTTCTTATCTACTGAATTTAATTAACCCAATCTGGCGAAGAGGAAGATATTGGGGTCTCTTAATTCAAGTCACTGTTATTTCAACATAAAATATTATTTAAGTCACTATTTTTTCTCATACACTATTATAATTAAGATTTCGATGTTGATTATATTACTGGCCAATAGATACACTGCTCAGTTTGTGCAATATATTTATATAAATCTGCAATATATACATGCTATAACAATAGACAAAAACAAAGAAATTCATGCTATAACAAAAAAAAAATATGATAAAATAATTTCCGTGTTAACTAAATACATGGGGTCTGAAACCTAATATTATCATGCAATAATCATGATCATTTTCCCTTATGCTTACAAAAACACTATGATTATGCAATTATAATGACTGTAAATTCCAAATCTTGATATATATATATAATTGATTTCAATAAGTTCTTTTAAGTTGGGCAAATAATACCAGAGAGCATTATTGGCTTCAATATTGCAATCATAGTTGAGAATGGAAATGTTTGTTTGCGTATGAAACACTAATGTGCTTGCGTGTTTACTCTGTCCTGTGGATTTGTGGAAATGTGTACGTGGCATTCTCAGATTCGCAGAGATTTTGGAGATAGTAAGTAGTAACACATGTTTAATCTGTTATGGACGTGACGACTTATAAATAAAATAAAATATTTAAACAAACTATAAAAGAAGAAGTGGAAAAGTTTAATCTGTTATGGACTTGAAAATCAAGTAAACACGATCTCTAAAGTGACTAGAAAAAAAAAATAATTACTCCTTCCGTTTCAAAATGTAAGTTGTTTTGGAGGATTTTTTGTTTCAATTTGTAAGTTGTTTTAATAATCCTAGATACTTTTAATTTTAATGAATATTGTGTTACCACTAGTATTTTGCAGTCTTTTGTATGATTGGTCAAATTATTTTTAATAAATATATTAAATAATATTTTTTAATAGAAAAATAGTTTTTTAATATTCGCACTTCTAGTTAAAACAACTTACATTTTAAAACAGAGGGAGTATTTGTTTGTGCGTTTTTCGAATCATTACTTTAATTGAAATAAAAAAATGTTATAAGGCTTCCACTAAACCCAAAGTTTCAGTTTGATTGTAAAATAAGGATAACTAATTTAAATGAAATCATAATGAAGGACGTTGATGGTCCAAGTTTCAATGAATTGATCTTGTAAAGATGTGAAAACATGATGGGACCATCCTCATGTGAGAAATACTGAGCATTCTCTTCCCTTATCCCCATCGCAAGGAGATCATTTTCACATGTTTTGTATATTCATAAATAACATAGAAATGTTTGGATTATTAACTGATGAAGAAATCATGGATTCAACTAGCAAAAAACTTAAATAGTACCAAAGTAAGGGTTAATTAACCAAAATGGTCAGTTGAATTGTATTTGAGAGGACTATCGATCTATTATTTAACTACAAAAATGATTGTAAATTTAGATAGATGTGTTAATCACACTAATTCAAATGTCTGTGCTTTTCAAAGAAATCCAACCCAATGAATATAATTTAAGGTTAGTTTGAATTTTATCCAAATTTAAAAACCATGAAACTAAGAAAAAATTATAAGAAATTCACAAAATATAGAGTTGAAGACTAAAATCAACATTTTATAGGATTAACAAACAAAAACCTAACCGTATTTGTTTTCAACCGGATTAGACAAAATCGAACTATTGTGTATCTATTTTACTTTTATCTAGAATGATTTGTCGACTAAATGCTTGGAACATCATAGATTATAAGATTAAGAATAATAACTGATCAGTTTAAAGATATTTGAGTAATAGCCCCACAAGGTGCCTTGTTAAGCAGGCAAAAGTAATTAATGTTATAAATCAGCTTTACATAAAATGGACCAAATACATATAAGCATTGGTCTTTTGGTCTCATCACATCACAAAAAACGCCAATCATATGGGAACCAAAGACATTCGCATACGCCAATTGGCCAAACTTATTAGTGCGCCAATCACATCAAATGATCACCATAATTTTGAGGAGAAAATGACCATTAAGCCTCGTGACTTCGAATACGTAAGAAGGTCAATGCAGAGAAGTGTGAATTCATTGAAAATACCACAAGGGAG